GACAGAGAATCTGATTGCCCAGATAATCATGAAATAATGCACCATGCTTCCTCCACACCACCGCTCTTTTAAACAACCCAAAAATTTCCTGGATGTTGCTAAGGCTTTGAACCGGACGCAAGAAAAGCTACCAGAGGGATTCAGCTGGACGTCCATATGGAGTTTTACCAGATTTGGAGGAACAACAGCATGAAGGGACACAACGATAAAACATCTGTTCAAAATACCAAAATAACATTTTATTCAGTTTCAACTAAACCTAATTTTTTGCCTATTAAAACTACTTAAAAATTCTGGATTTTTGCGCTAGATAATTCCGATTCTTTTAAAAAATAATCGGCTCTTTTTCGAAACAATCGGATTTCTTAGAAAATATTCGAATTTTTTACCATTACAGGAAGAATGTGTAACAGCTGGCCAGTTAATTCAAAAGCAATTACAGCGACCGAAACGGTGTGTGTTACTGCGCCACAGAATGAAACCGCACCTGAATTAATTGCCCATGAAAGCACTTAGGAAAAAATATCATATGAAATTTCCGGATGCAACAGGATTGAAAAAGCCCTGGTGACGTAAGCGCGCTGTAAAATTAATTGAAATATCACGAATTCACAGGCAAATAAACGCACCAACAACTGCATAAATACCGGGAAGAACAAGCAGCTGCTGATCATTGCGGAAACCATTTGGATAACCGAGAGCCATCAGCTCACCGAAAAAACGACCCATCGCCGCACCAATAACAAAAGCCGGCATGAATATACCGGCTGGTACAGGCAACGTGCTAGCAACGATCACCAAAAAGTACTGTAATTGTTGAGGCTCAAATTATCGGAGTTACCAAGATCATCTGGATAATCGATGTTACTGAAATGCACTCATAAAGTGTGCGCAGTCATGCCAAACCCTCTTGTCCTCAACTTTTTTCTCATTCCTCAAAGAAGGGAGGAAGGAAGAAGAGAATTTGGGACACTTCATTAAGTCAAAAGTTCGCATCCACTATTCGAATTTCCCATACCAGTTTAAATTTACAACCAAGGCCAAAGGTCAGGATACGAAAATCCTGAAGAACGGTTTCAGACTTGTGCCTATGCGTGGCCAGAATATCCAACGAGACTTGGTCCTCAAACTTATTGTTTTCAGGATCAAACCTTCTAGCAACACTTTGGCTTAATTTTGCATCACTAAGATTTTTTTAACAAAAAAGTCATATTAAATGGAAAACGTACAAAGCCGACAATGAAAATGGCAAGCTCAATGAAAACGGAATCATGGACCTTCCATCGCGTTACCAGGATTTCATTGCATGCCTCGACGTGTGAGGGACTCACATGCCAAGTACAGTTTGCAAAAAAATCACGCAGAGAGCGAGCGAAAACTGTCTGAAAACTGAACGGATGTGCTAAAATATTTTTGAATTTTAAAAAGACAATAAAACAGGAAGGAATTATGTTTTTATTTTCCAATTTCCATTTTCGTTTTCTTGACAAAATTTATAAATTTCATAACCGCCTAATTTGAAGTCTGTTATGATAATGTTTGCGCGATCAACTTTCCGAATAATATTATGGCAGTATTTGTTACCATGATTGCCGTTTCTAACATTTTCCATTACGACGCTATTCGCTGCTGCGATTATCGTTTCTGGTTCTATTATAGTAGGGTATTAATTACTATTACGATTATCAGTTTGCTGCTTATTAAGCGAATCTGAGGTACCCTGAAGATCGAAATGTAACGAGAAACAGACTGGTGGAGAAGCATTTGGTGTATTATCAAGCAGTAAATTTTTGTGCTAATCAGCGAGGCAAGATAAACAAATCAGAATGTTTTTCCCCTTGAATTCTACCAAAAAATAAACGTTCCCAGAAGCATTCTTGCCACAGTGTTCAAAAAGCCCTCAATAAACATAATAATGTAAGAACTGTCGGATAATCTGCTGCGAGGAACTTTGCCAAAATCTTTTTCGCCTTTAAATGATGGAGTCTAGCGCGCTACACAAACTAGCAAAAGAGAAATTACTGTTGCTAACCTGCCCAGTGAGGTACTGCCCTAATCCGTTTGGATATGTAATTGTTGAATAAAACACTGAGATTGCCAATGGATATACAACCCAGCTGAAATAAATGTTCGATTTTTAACAAGAAAATTAATTCGAAGCTTTGAGAAATGATTTTGCATCGGATTTAGAGGACTACTTTAATGGTTTCTCCCGTTGAATTTCTTCCCAGTTACCAAGGTCATCAATATTGCCTAGGTATTCAGTGCGGGGCTCAGTATCACCGATTTTGCTGAGATGCACCTACACGCTGGTCGCACTTATGCCAACTTTAGTGCGTTAAAATAAGTTTCCTAATATTTATTTAATATACTAAATAGCAATGAATTTTTTCGTTTTGGAAGGTTTCCAATTTGGTGTTTTTTAGAAAAAAATCGCGACATTTACCGGCATCAGGTGCGTAGCAGCTTTTATCAACCGAACTTGCTGAGCTTCTCCTCCATTGCTTGAAAAGAAACCAAAAGAGAGTTTCATCTCTAGCACTTTGATAGCATTGTCGTCAATTGCATTTTAAACCAACAGGATAATGATTTAGCCTGTATTCGCTTGGTCGTAATTTTAAACCAAACACAGTTATGAAGATTCCACACCAAGGCGACTTTAAAATTAATTTTACTAAGATTATTTTGCGAAAGCTTCACATAAATGATTACTTTCTTTGGAACAGCTGTTTCATAAAGCTGTTCCTTCGTAAAAAAAGCACATATCGGCGATGTATCATAATAAATACTGCTCCGGCCAGACCACAAATTATGCTAAAATAACTGTGAGTGACAGTGAAAACAATTGTTTTATCGTTTCAAATTTTTTCTTTAATCGAGGAGTGATTACATTCCGTCGGTTCATTCTTATTTCATATTTATCGTGGATAAAACAGGAAGTCACATCCAATAATCCTTCCAGTGCTGATTTCTGTGAGTAATCAGTTGCTCAGCTGAGCTGAACGTTTGAATGCCTCGGCCTTTTACAGAATCTAAAACGTGGAGTGGACCTTGATTTTGGAATTTATGGTTCGAACCCTTTCTCTCCTCCCATCTCCCCCCTCTTTTTCCTTATCCCGGCTTCCATTTACGACTTTTTTGTTTATTCCAAAATTAGACTCGTATGGGGATCATAAATTTTTTTTCCCATAAGCTCTTAGAAACAGTACCAAAGTTTTCCAATCAGCACTTTCGCTCACTCTGCGGGCATCAGTAGTGCCCAAGTGGTTTTGTAAAAACTGAAAAAAAATTTAGTCGCAACTCACCCAATGCACGCAAAAAACAGTAATTCCTCTGGATAATACGAGCGATGCCTGAACTTCGTTTGGAATAACGCTGCTACCGTCACTGCAGAACACAAGCAAACATTTAGTTAAATGCTAAAGCGATTTTTTTATCGGTACGGACAAAGTTCTTTTGCATAAGCTACGAAATGTAATCAAAGCCTATTTCATAAAGGGACAAGAATTTCTAACTTCAAAAAATCGAAAATTGCTCATCAAAAAACGTTCAGTTGTGTTTATCTTAGAACAGCTTTTCAACATGCCTTCGAATGGATTGATCCACAAACGCAGAAGTGAGAATGCCACTGCACCGCATGCTGCTGCAAAAAATCCACGCCAGTAATCGCGCACCGCAAAATATGCTGTTGTAACTTCTATTGAAAATAACACACCTAAATTGTTGAGAGAGGTTGAGGGAAAGATTCAAAAAACGTTAATGCTGGAAAAGCGCAAAATCCTGAATTTGGTGGTTTCACATTTTATTGTCAGGCTTTCGAATCTTCCGAAAGAGAGGAGCGATAAAAGAAGAGAAGAGGTGTTACTATGTTTTTCTGAAAGTTTGAACAAAGCGATTTTTCATGATTAAGAGGCAAAAAGGTTTTATTTAAATTAAGTTTCATCTCATCTAATTCGAAAATTTCAGTGCTTGTGCAGGTCAAAGCGTTGTTTTTTCTGAACTGCCTTCTTCATTCCGGCCTTAGCCAACTCTGCATTGTACATTTATCATAAGCGTTATTGGTTTGCATCCTGAAGTGTTCAGTAAATTTGGTTTAATAATTAGAAATGAGGCATCTTCACAAATGTAGCTACTCCAAGGCTAGCTCACAGCCTAGCCTTTTTTTGCGACAATCATTTTCAAACTCACTAGAATAGTAGAAACAACAGTGCATTACTTTTAAAAATCATAAGCAGCAAATACAACATGCAAGAGAACATAACGCATTTACAAAATCGGCATGCCCTGGCAGTGTACACCACAGGATTCAAAAATAAACAGAGATGCGCACTAGGATGTCAGTGTAGTTATAAGTTTTTGCAGTAAGCTATTGAAAGCTCACAATAAGTAAATGCGACAAAACATGCACTTCTTTTTACCGAGTCACAGTAGGTTTCGACTTATTTACCAAGAACTATTTATTAATTCCGGTTGACAAAGGGAATGCCTTGGAAGTCCCATCAAAAACGACAATTTTTGAAAGGATGTGCTGTACAGGATGCACCAAACAAACGATACAGGGTAGGTAGGAGATGTCATACATACAGAATATAGGTGTCCCAGCTAATGTGTAAAGCACAGGTTCCAGTAGTGAAATGGTCTACCACGTCTTGTACGGTTGAAAAAATGAATGGTCCGGTTCCTAATTGATTCAAAGGTCTTTTAAAAAGGAGCTCCGCCCGTAAGGGTGCGGTATTGCAAAGATGATGACACTGCTGGCCTGACGATAAACCGTGAAGCCATAGGAAATCGGTCAGACGTAGGAAAACGTGAAAATGGGTTCACTTTGGTGGAGCTCTGTATATGGCGGATGACTATTTTTCCTAGTTATAGGCTCCTGGCTTTAGAACTCATACAAAAAGACATAAATTAGCTGAGTTGCCTTACTGCGCTGCATTAGTGAAGCAAAAGTACTTCAAAAAAGAAAAAATTTTTTTTCCTGCCTATGAGCTGAATTCAAAAATGTGCTAGTGCTAATTCTTGAGGAATAATTAAGTGCAGCTGACACGATCACAACAAAAACAACAGTGTTTTAGTAGCCATTCACAACACCACACTTTGTCTTACCTCAAGCACATTCTTTCGACTATTTGCAGATTCCTGCAAATGAAAGTGAAAACTATTCAAAAGTAAAAAGAGATGATGGATGTTCTGTGGAAGTTGAAGTCCCTGCTGAAAAAAAAATTTCGACTGTGTCACTTGATACAAAGAATGCGTTTTCGAGCGCCGTGTTTTATAAAGAGG